TGTAAGCCAGATCCCTAAATATTTTATTTTCTTGGTTATACTTATCTTTGTTTTATCCTCCAATTCCCTTTCCTGTGCCTTTGTAAGATTTTTTGTTATTAATTTGAATTTATTCTTATTAATCTTAAGTCCGGCTACCTCACCAAATTCTTCCATTTTTTTAATCAATTTAAAGCCGGTTTCTAATGGATCTTCCAAAATAAATACCAAATCATCAGCAAAGGCCTGGACCTTATATTCTTCCTTTTTAATTTTTAAACCCTTTATTTCTTGGTCCTCTCTGATTTTTGTAAGGAGTATTTCTAATGATAAAATAAATAGAAGAGGGGAAAGTGGGCATCCTTGTCTTACTCCTTTGGTTATATTATTTTTTTCTGTCATTTCCTCATTTATAATTACCCTAGCTGTTTGTTTAGTATATATTTTCTCAACCATCTTTCCAAATTTTGTCCCAAAATCCATATAGTACAATTGTGTTATAATAAAATTCCAATTCAAATTATCAAATGCCTTTGGGGCATCAAGAAAAAACAGTGTAGCTTGTCTTTCAGGATGGACTTCGTAAAATTTTAAAGTATTCAGTATTATCCTCATGTTATTTTTTATTTGTCGTCCTGGTAAAAATCCATTTTGATCTGGGTGGATGTAGTTATTCAAAAAATTTTTTATCCTTTCTGCTATTATTGTTGTAAATGTCTTATAATCTGTATTCAGTAAAGAAATCGGTCTATAATTTTGAATTTGTTGTAGGTCTGAGTCTTCCTTAGGAATGAGGGTGATGATTGCTTCAGTCCAAGCTGTCGGTATCTTCGCCTCTTCCAACACCTCATTGTAAATCTCCAACATTATCCATTGTAGTGACTCTTGTGTATTTTTATAAAACTCGACCGGAATTCCATCTGGGCCTGGTGATTTGTTGTTTTTTTTTGTTTTTTCAATGCTGTTTCTAATTCTATTGCAGTTATTGGTCTAGTCAACATTTCCTTTTGTTCTTCAGTAATTTTGCTCATTTTTGCTGCCTCTATATATTGTTTGACTTTATCATCTGGTATATTTTCCTGATGGTATAGCTTTGAAAAGAAATTTTGTATTATTTTCTTTTTTTCTTCCCATCTATATTGTACTGTTCCACTTTCATCTTATAGTTGGTGTATTGTTCTTTTGCCTTTTTCTTTTTTTAATTTATAGGCCAACCATCGACCAGTTTTATTCGCATTTTCAAAATAATTTTGTTTTGCCATCCTGATTTTCTGTGCCATTTCTTTTTGTGTTGTCAGGTTAATCTTGTGTTTTATAATATTCCATTTTTCTTTTATCTTTTTATTTTGTGGGTCCTTCTGTAGATCACCTTCTATTTTTTTTAATTCTTCTTGTAATTTTCCTTGTTGAAGTCTCCTCTTTGTTTTTCTTAGAGTTGTATGCAATTGTCAATCCCCGAATGTAAGCTTTTGTAGTATCCCACAAATTTTGTGTTGATGTCTCTTCCTTTTTATTTACCTGAAAAAATAATGTCAACTCCTTTTCTAGCATCTGTATATATTGTTTATCTTTACACAGTCTTTGATTCATTGACCATCTTTTTCTCTGTTTCTGGCCTTTCCATTTTATTATTATTGGGTTGTGATCCGCCCAATCATTAAGCCCTATTTCAATTTCCTCTATCCCTTTTTGTACATCTGTTGTTGCCCAGGCCATATCGATCCTAGACCAAGACTGATGTGGATACGAATAGAACGTATATTGTTTGTCTGATCTGTGTGTGTCTCTCCATATATCCTGAGGATTGAGTTCTGTTACCATGTCAAAGAACGATTTTGGTAATATATTTTTCTTCTTTTTGTTCTTTTTACTACTCTTATAATCTTTCTTAACATCAACTATTGCATTTAAATCCCCAATCATACAAATATTTTCGTAGTCCAGATCCACTAGTTTCTTATGTACCTTTTTAAAAAATTCTTGTTGATTATTATTTAGTGCATATACTGCCGTTAATAAGATTTGTTTTTGCTCTAATTCTATTTCCAACATTAAAATTCTCCCCTCTTCATCCAAGTATATTGATTTTGATTTTATTTTTTCTTTGACATATATAGCAATTCCTCCTTTCTTGTTTTGTGCTAATGTTATGTATAGTGTTCCTAATTTTACATTCTCTAGTAATTTTCTATAATCCTTTTTTATATGAACTTCCTGAAGACATATCACATCTGCATCCAATTTCCTTAATTTGTTAAACATTTGTGCTGTTTTTCTTGGTATATTTAATCCATTAATGTTTACAGAGAAGAGCTTAATTGCATCTCCCATTTTTTACTTGATCTATTTTTTTTTTATGCTTCTTGTCTCTATTACTCTTCCTTTTGCTCCTTCTCTTTCTAACCTTTCTCTTTCTTGTATCTTTTGTATTTCTCTCTCTCGTTCGACTTCCTCTAATACTTCTTCATCCTGACTTTTACTCTCCGACTCTTTCCTACTTTCTTGTTCTTCTCCCTGTGTAAAGTAATGTTCATAAAAGTCCTGCGCTTTCTCAAGTGTATCTATCTTATATTTTTTTTCCTGCCAAGTTAGAAATATGCCTTCAGGTATTAACCATCGAAACATAACTTTATATTTAATTAATTGGGTCGTTAGAAATTGGTATTCTCGTCTCTGATTTTGTATACTATGTGGTATTTGTTTTAATACAATTATTTCTTTACCCTTATATATTATTGGTTCGTCTCTTGTTTATTTATATATTTCATCCCTTATTGATCTTCTAGTAAACCTTATATGGATCTCTCTCGCCAATCTATGCCTTCGTGCATAATTTGTATATACTCTATATATTTCATCTATGTCTCTTCTTACTTCCTGTTTTTCCTTGCCTAATATCTCCGGCAACATCTCCGCCATCTTCTCTCCCAAATCTTCTTCCTTTTCCTCCACAATATTTTGGAATCTTAGAAAGAACGAAGCTTTATTCATTTCCAAAAAGGCAATTGATTCAGTCAACTCCCTATTTACCTGCTCTGATTTCTGTACCATCCTTTCTATTTTGCTATCAACATGCTCTATTTTTGTTTCAACTTTTTGGATTCTTTGTTCATTTTCCATCATTGTTTGTTGTATATTGCCTATCTTATCATTCATGTTTTTAATTTCATCTCTCATTTCTCCAATATCATTCTTAATTTCTTTGTGATATATTTTCGTTTCTTCATGATTGTTTGCTATTGCCTCTTGGGTCATCATCATTGTTTCTTGAATCATTTGTAGTGTTATCTGCATGCTCTGTGGGTTCATTGCCAATTCTGCTTTTTCTTTTTCTTTCCCCAATATGGTCACTATCATTCTTTGACCTGTAGGAGAGGCCATTATAGGTGTGGGATTTGTAACTGTTTTTTTTTTGCCAACTTTAGTTGTTGTTGCGGTACTTGTCATTTTTATTATTTGAATAATATTTCTCCACTTTTGCATATAGCAATTTATGGCAAGTTGTTTTTGTTGATCAAGTTGGTTTTCAATTTATATAGTCTAAGCTTAAATATGCAAATATATATATAATATAGATAGTAAAGAATATAGGTTGGGGGGGACATCCCGTATCGCCTTGCATCAAACTGATGCAAGGCGACACGGGATGTTCCCCCCCCCCAACCTAGGAGTCGTGAGTAGTAGAGAAGAAATCAACCGTAGGAGCGCAGAATTTGAAAGCGCGTCTTACATGAGTAATGCAAGGATCAACTGACCGGGCCCTGTCACGAGGTCTATGAGCTGAATGCGGGCGCGGTTGCGCTCATAAGCGAGCTTCCCCACCCTCTGGCTTTTACACCCTGACGATGATGGCAGTGATACAGCCATCGAAAGCTCAGTTATTTATTTATTAAATACTTGATTGCTTTTACTTCCTGGTGGTCGTCTTTTATTTGTCAAGTATGTATATACCCAGGAGTATCAATATATATGACTATAATACCTTTATAGAACATTATTCTTAGGATTAACGTTGAAAAGTAAAATTACAAGTAGAGTTATACCTTTCCTTATCCCACTATTATCTAGTACAATTTATAATACTCTAAACACCTCTTATATATTTCTACAGCACTACACACGATGCATATACATACATACACTATTCTCTAAGTATTATCACCACTCTTAATTTCATTCACTATCGCTCTTATTTGAATAATCACCTGCCTATATTTCTTTACAATACTATAATTACTTGCTCACTTCTATTTAGTTCAATTACACAGTTATGCTTATTTCTATTTCGTTAATACAATTAATTTACTTCATTACTTTTAATATATTGCCTGATGCCCCTTTTCTACTTGTAGCTTAGTCACTGCTTGTATATGAATGCTACAATATTGTATCAGCCTTTTTTTCTCTCTGTCTCAATTTAACACATCCACCGATCCACCAAATGTCACCTCTTCTTTCTTCTTCTAATATCCAATATTTCCAAAACGTCCACTCGTCATTTTACCCAGATATATGTCAGTTATATGTCTGGCAAGCAGTCAATTGGGGAAGCTAGATTCATTTAACAATGAATTATTAACAACTGCAAGTTATTTGCTTAACAACCATGGCAAAAAGGTCATAAAGTTAACTCATTTAACAACTGCCTTGCTTAACAATGGAAATTCTGGTCTCAGTTGTAGTTGTAAGCTGAGAACTATCAGTAAAATGCAGGCAATCCTGCTGGTTGGATATATATAAAAAGGATGGTTGCAGGATGAAGAGACTGGATTTTTTAAAAAAAAATCCTGCAAAAGATGACAAGAGGAAAATATTGTATAATGTGCATAGACAGAAAAAGCTAATTGCACAAAATATCATTAAAGAGAATGAGGGAGGTCCAAGATTTAAAAAGACAGGGAAAAAAACTCTTGATTATAAAGTCAACAAGGAAAAAAGCAAATGGTTTAACCATCTTACTTACATGTCTTACTCAGTTTTATTCAATGCTCACTTTAATTTTTCCTTGGCTTGTTTTCTAGCTATTATCGCCAAAAGTTCCTAGACTGTACAGGCAAGAAAGCTTGGCAGCCTGATAGCAGGTCAGCCAAACAGGATCAACACCATTCTGATAAAGAAAGGTTGTCCAAAAGCCAGTCTTCCCCTATAACTGCCTTTGCTGGTGCTGCCCGCATCTGCATCATGAACGAAAAGGAACTGGAATCATATGTGGCAAATCTCCAAGGTGAGCACTCACACTGCAGCAAACTTCAGGGCTGAACTATATCTGTTAAGAACCTGATGGATCGTACACTGGAAAAAAATCTCTAAGCTGAGCCACGGAATTTCCCTGGTTTTATCTTGTAGTGGAGTTGAGAAAATGCATTAAACATATCTAATAATCTCAGGGTTTTTGCACAAAAGCATGTCTCGCTGGTCTGTTACTATAATTACATTTTGATCAATCACTCTGCCTTAATTGAAGCCCAAGTCCAAATAGGCAGGCAAGAGCTTGAGTAACTTAGTGGAACTTTTAAGGAGCAAAATATTTTGGCAGGAATCATGCCCTTTACTTCACCATGTTTCTATCTTGTAACACCTAGGCTCAGCTGGTGGTTTGTTTCATTGCTATTACTGGTTCACATAGCATAATCTATGTTTGTACTACTTTACTACATATAACAGCACAGAAGATATACTTTGAAAGAATTATAGGTTATAGCAATAGCACCTAGCAATAGCACTTAGACTTATATAACGCTTCACAGTGCTTTACAGCCCTCTCTAAGCAGTTTACAGAATCAGCATATTGCCCCCCAAAATCAGGGTCCTCATTTTACTGACTTCAGAAGGATGGAAGGTTGAGTCCGCCTTAAGCTGGTGAGATCTGAACTGCCGAACTTCTGGCAGCCGGCAGTCAGCAGAAGTAGTTTTCAGTACTGCCTTCTATGCCAAGGAGATCAATGAAGAGAACAGCATACATGTCCAACTCAGTTATGTGTATTTAAGCTTAATTATAATACATATAAGAATTGATGTATTATTGCAAAAGTACTTTAGAAAAAAAGTGATGATTGAGGGGTGGGGGAGATTAAAAAAAGTAGATGCAGAGGATGGTATTATGAAACTGTTTTGATAAATAGTTTCAGGCTCATTAGGTATCTTATGAGTGGCATTGCAAGGGAGTAACACTTTTCCTTTTCAAGACTCTTTTTATTACAGACTGTGCTAAATAGAGATTTTGCATTGCATTAGTCCAACACTGGGTTTGTCCATCTCTCCTTTTTTCTCCTAATGGCTGAGCATTTGTGTAATAGAAGCAGGAAGCCAGCAAAAAATCCGTTGGTTGGATTTTTTGCTCATGTAGTGGCAATGAAGCAAACAACACTTGTTGCCCAGAATATCACAATTGGTGTTCATATTCCCTGAGAAGATTTTTTTTTCCAGATTAGGAATGGAGGGAAAGCACAAAGCATTTGATTAGGAAGAAATCTGTGCTCTATTTTCTGTTTCCACAAAAGGAATTAATTCTAGTGGAAAATAACCATTCTAATATTTGATAAGGTTTTAAGCATGCCTGTTAAAAGTTATTTCAGTGCTAAAAAGAATTCCTACTTTTCTAAATGATTATAGTGATGTGATAGAGTAAGGGGATGGGAAATATATTGATTTTATACTTTTGCACTGATTTGTATCAGTAAATTTCTTGTACCAGTTAATTTATTATTTACCGAACATATATGCCCAGATTAAATAGGACAAATGTGATCTTCTCTATTGCTGCAAATACAAGTTATAGTACTCCCACCACCAATTTGGACTGCAGGTTGGAGGAGTATTTGCTATGGATTTTCCAAATTCCTAGGACAGTGGTGGGGAACCTATGGCACGCGTGCCAGAGGCGGTACTCAGAGCCCTCTCTGTGGGCACGCGCACCATGCCCCGAAGATGGTAACCGTCTCTCTTCAACCAGCCGCCCGCTAACTCGATGAGATCCCATGTGGCCGGGTGCATCCCAGCACAGCTGGTTTCCCTCCGCTCCATCCCATCTCTCCTGGCCTCACATGCTCTCCTTTTCCTGGGCACGACCCACTGCATCGCCTCCTCAGTTGTCGGCTATCCGTCCAGCTCAGAAGCAGCTTCTCTGAACTGCTGGCAGGTTGCAGAGCCCCAGAGTGCGGTGGTTGGCCCCCATGCGCTTGCTGGCTTCTGTGTGCGGGGGCCAATGGAGTCAGGCAGCAGCCACCCCAGCCCCTGCCTCGCCTTGCCCTGCGACAATGGCACACCCCGCCCTGCCTTGCCTCACCTCATCCCTCAGGACGAGCCTCCTGGTCACCGTCCCACCTGCCAGAGACTCCCTGGATTTCCCCCAACCCTGCCCAGCCCCCACAGGCATCCCTCCCCACGAGCAACATCGAGGTGACCACGCACACCTTGGCCACACCCATCCAGTCTGCCATGACCATCACAGCCATGCCCACCCAGTGGGCCACGCCCACCTGGCACCCAACGATAAATAAGTGGTTTTGGGTTGGAGTTTGGGCACTCGGTCTCTAAAAGGTTCGCCATCACTGTCCTAGGACTTCACTTAGCTAGTAAAAGAAAATAATTAAGAGTATCTGCAGGAATAGTTTACCTTCTCATGTGCAATGTTGGGCATACATATAAAAGCTGAATTTGCACTGTGAAATGCACATTTTATCATTTTTGCATTATCATAATTTATACTGAATACTTGTGCTTGTGCTTACAAGCTTTTTCTCCAATAGCTAATAAGAGCTGGGTAAGAAGTGATTTCAATCAAAGCCACAGTATGGAAGAAAATCATAAAAAAACGACATCCATTCTTACCCAGCAGATATCTCTTTGTGCACAGCACAAAGAAAAAGAAATACAATCATTTCCAATTAGCTTTGGGGGAAAGGCTAAGTTTGCTGTCTTGCTTCCTTTTAGGTCTTTTACAATGGCTATCTGCTTCTCTTGTGTTCTGCTTCAATTTCTCTTTGCTTTTCACTAGAGTGGGGTTTGGATATTGATGAGTATTGATATCAACAGCTAAGAGCATCCTGACATTTAACTGTCTTTTGCTTTACCTAGCAAAGGTTAATCCTTCAGAGAGTCCCTATAATCAAGTGCCTATCTTTCCCTTGATCCCTAATCGGGATGTCTTGGTGAAAGGGAAGCCCAAAAAGGACGTCCAGAAGCTAGACATGCAAAGGAAGATAGAACCCGTCTCCTCTTTTGAAGACCGTTTCCTCCATAAAAAGAGGTGGATAAAGCAAATAGTGAGTATACAATTCCATTTGTGCTAATATCAAACTTACTGCCTATTTTCATTTAATTATTAAATCCTTCTGGTAGCTTTTCCGTATGTTTATGTGATACTGGTAGCTCAGAGTTGACAAACCTTTGTTATACATTTTGTTTTGTTTTGTTTTGTTTTATACATAGCCAAAACCTGCCAAAGCTTCCAAACCATCCCTCTCTCTCTCTCCAGAGCTAAGTCAGAAGCGTTTGACTATGGACGACGTGAGAGATATCCGACAAGAGGTAAGCTCTTTGAGGCAGGTGCTATTTGTTGGGCTGGACCAAGTTAAATTAGTTGGTCTTATTTTATAATTAAAATCAATGTGGCCTTTGACTTCAGGAATGAGTAATTGCTCTCTAATGACAATATGAATTGGAATATAGTATAAGCTTTTCTTTTTGAGTTTCACATATTTCTAAAGGACACATCCATCTGCGCTGCTCTTGTATGTCAAACTCACATATAGCATAGTTCATTTAATCATTGCTTGCAGTTTCTCTCCACCCAGCTTTCTGGTTATCATATTGATGCATTCTTGTTATGTTTCTTTTTCATTGTTTGTTTTATTATTTTACTTCTGTTCTGTTTACACTCTTTCATTTCTTCTTTTTATTATTGCAAGCCACCTAGAGTAGCCCTATAGTAAAATAGGCAGCAAATAAATTTAACAAATAAAACAAACCATTATTTACTGAATAAATATTAACTAAGTACATGTAAGTTACTAAACTTTAAACCCTGATCAGCAGATCACAATAGCTAAGTTCAGCACACCAAAATTAAGTAAATCATGTTATGCTTAATATATCACTGTAAAAGACTCAGTTGAAATAGCACATTAAGCAAAGAGTCTTAATAATAATAAGAATAAGAATAACAACAACCCCCAGTGAAGCACTACGTGACGTGGTTGTGGGGCTTGTGTACTCTGAGGAAGATGAGAGCTATGCCAGAGGTTCAACCATACTGGACAGGTCTCATCAGAGGAGTCAGACAAAGAGTGTCTTTCCCATAAAAAATATGGTGAGACGTAAATTTCAGAATGCCATACCGGCTCGGATGTCGCCCGGGTTAACAAGGTCCGCGCTAGATATTGGAGTTCCTGGATATCTGGTGAAAAATGGGTTACAGGACTCAGGACTGTTGGTGAGCAACCAGGGCCAGCAGCTGCAGAACTACTGGAAGAAAAGGTGTTTACCCGTCGCAGATACACAGTGATGGAAAACAAAGAAATAATGATCTGTTACTACAGATCAAGTCCAACAAGAAGAGGATATCTAAAACGAATGCACCAGTTCTGGAAAGAACAACATCCAGAATCAGAAATAACAGAACAGAGACTAGCAGATCAACGCCGATTTATAACACGAAATAAAGTATTCACAGAAACAGAATTGGACGAACTGCAAAGGTTTACCCAGGGCAAAGAAATCAAAGCCTTACCAGAAGTAATTCAGAATGTAGAGGCAAACCAGGGGGAGTTGGCAGTGAAGGAATCCAGCAGAGATATACAACTGTTTTCATTTGGAAACCAGTCACCTTTGACTCAGGAAGAACAAAACCCTCTAACTAAAGAAATAAAAGAATTGAAACAAAGAATAACTGAGCACAAAAACAACAGAATAATGCTGCCTGCATTGAAGCTTGTTCCAAAGAAACAGCTAGCACAAGCATTAAAAGATGCAAATACTGCAATAGCAAGTATAAGCACCAATTCACTGCAAGAAACAAACCAACTAATGTACAGCACAGCTGCAGTTATAACTGAATACCTGGGATGCAAAATCAACAAAGAAGAAAAACAAACAAACAGTGCACCAGAAAAATGGAAGGTTAGACTAGAAAATAAGATCAGCAAGTTAAGATCACATGCAAGCAAGCTAGAACAGATGAAAGAAAAGAAGCTGAAGAACAAGAAGACCAAAGAATACCTAATCAAGAAATACCACTTAGAAACAAGGAAGATCAAGGAAGCACTGGAAATAATAAAGCAACAAATAACAGCTATAGCCAGGAAAATCAGTAGATATGAAGCTCGAATTGCAAACTATAGGCAGAACCTCCAATTTCAATCCAATCAGAAACGTTTCTACCAATCCATCAATGGAGAAACTGCAAGGAATCAGTCAGTACCTGACAAGGAAGAAACAGTGCAGTTCTGGAAGCAGATATGGGATAACCCAAAAAAATACAACAAGGATGCGGCTTGGTTAAAAGAGGTGGATGCAAATAAAACAGAAGTTGAAATGAAAGAACTAGTAATAACAACAAAAATGGTAGAAAAAAGAGCAAGGAAAATCAAAAATTGGTCAGCACCAGGTGAAGATGAACTGCATGGGTTTTGGTTGAAACATCTGTTATACACCCACTCATTGCCAAGCAGTTCAACAATATACTACAAGGAGGAGAAATTGAAAAGTGGCTTGTTGTTAATTGCGAAGTCGTGTCCGACCCATCGCGACCCCATGGACAACGTTCCTCCAGGTCTTCCTGTCCTCTACCATCTTCTGGAGTCCATTTAAATTCACACCTACTGCTTCAGTGACTCCATCCAGCCATCTCATTCTCTGTCGTCCCCTTCTTCTATTGCCCTCAATCTTTCCCAGCATTAGGCTCTTCTCCAGTGAATCCTTCCTTCTCATTAGGTGGCCAAAGTACTTGAGTTTCAACTTCAGGATCTGGCCTTCTAAAGAGCAGTCGAGATTGATCTCTTCTAGGACTGACCAGTTTGAACGCCTTGCAGTCCAAGGGACTCGCAGGAGTCTTCTCCAGCACCATATTTCAAAGGCCTTAATTCTTTTGCGCTCAGCCTTTCTTATGGTGAAAAGTGGCTAACAACTGGGAAAACCTACCTAATAATGAAAAATCCAGCAAAAGGGGCAACACCAGGCAACTACAGGCCAATTACCTGCTTACAAACAACTTTCAAATTACTAACTGGTGTGGTAGCTGATGCAGTACAACAGCATCTAGTTCAGTGGTTCTCAACCTTTTTAATGCCGCGACCCACAACCGGTCGTAAGTCGAGGACTACTCAACTGGTCGTAAGTCGAGGACTTACTGGCTGTGGAATTCTGGGAGTTGAAGTCCACATGCCTTAAAATTGTCAAGGTTGAGAAACACTGACTTAGTCTAATCCTGGTGGATTCAACTCCCAATAAAAGATCATAATGATAACCAACCACCACTCAGGCTGAATCTCCTGACACACTGAAATCTCTGCAGATGGGGAGTCTATTTTCCCATTATTTGTCCCTTAGGCTCATTTCTAGGAAGCCCAGAAGGGGCGTTGTCTTACCTGAACGCCTTTTCTCAGCATAATGATGTAGAATCCACCGGTGGGTAATTTCAGCCTTCCTGCTCAGTTTAGACTAAGTCAGAATCTTTAGCCACGCCTCCTTCTGGGCCGCACCCTCCCAGTTTTTTGACAAGGCAAAGCAAATATGACGAAGTCTGACGCATTGGCTCCTCCTATAATGACACATGCCTAGACGGACCTGAAGGGTGGGTGTGGATTCTACATCATCATGCTGAGAAAAGGCATTCAGGTAAGACAACGCCCCTTCTCCAGCATGACGAGTGTAGAATCCACCGATGGGACATACCAAAGCCGCTCATGTCCCTATTGGGAGAGAAGAATCTGGGCTTGTGTCCTGCCAGAAGAAACTACCTGCTGTAGGACCCTCCTACCGAACGAGGATCCACCGCCGCAAATTTATCTATCTTATAGTGCCTAATAAAAGACGAGAGCGAGGACCAAGTCGCCACCCTGCAGATTTCCTCGACGGATGCCTGGGTAGACCAGGCCGTGGTTGCAGCGGCACTGCGAGTGGAGTGGGCAGTGATGTGGGCCAGAACCGGGAGAGCCTGTGAGGTATAGGCTCGGGCAATGCATGCTCTAATCCACCTACCAATGGTCGAAGAAGAGACCTTCTGATCCATGGAAGAGGGTTGGAAAGAAACAAACAGTGCCTCTGACTTATGAAAGGTAGACGTTCGCTTAATGTAAAAGCGCAGGGCCCTGCGCATGTCTAGCTTGTGCCACTGCCTCTCCAGCCTATAAGACAGATTTGGACAAAAATCCGGAAGGACCAAGTCCTGGAACCTGTGAAACCAGGAATTAACCTTCGGAATAAATGAAGGGTCCAATTTGAGGACAACTCTACCGTCGAGAAAGGTACACAGGTCACTTCTAACAGAGAGCGCAGCTAACTCCGAAATACGTCTGGCCGACGTAATCGGTACTAAGAAGGCAACTTTCAGAGAAAGAAAATGAAGAGAACAAGACCTAAGAGGCTCGAAAGGTGAAGACATGAGAGCCTATAGAACCTTTGATAGATCCCAAGAGGGATAGCGATGAACAGCCGGCAGTCTGGCATTAGTTGCCCCTTTGAGAAAGGCAGCGACTGCCGGATGTTGAGCCAAAGGAACTAAATTGTCGCAGGTCAATACTGTTGATAAGGCCGCAACCTGTCTGCGGAGAGTACTCGGGGAAAGCCCCTTATCCATGTCTTCCAAGGGATAATCAAAATATTAGGGATGGTGACCAAGAGTGGACTAAGGTGATGCTTACTATACCACATGCAGAAATTCTTCCACGTGGCGTCGTAGATCCTATTGGTCGAGGGGTGCCTAGAGGCTTGGATCATCGAGATCACCCCAGACGAATAGGATTGCCTGACTAAGATCTCCCGCTCAAGTGCCAGGCAGCTAACTGGAGCCACTGCGGGTCCGGGTGCTGTAGTGTCCCCAGGCTGAGGAAGATGCGATCTGAAGGGATCCTCCACGGCGGGGAAATTGACAGATCCACAAGGTCGGCAAACCAAGGTCACCTCGGCCAATGTGGAGCAATGAATATGATGTCCTCCTGCTCCTGAATGAGCTTGCGGATGGTTGCTGGTATCAACAGGAGTGGAGGGAATGCGTACAGCAATCCGGAGGGCCACTTGTCACAAAGAGCATCTGTTCCCTCCGCCCCGGAGATGGGAACCTTGTGAAGTACCTAGGCAGCTGGGAATTTTTCTGTGAGGCAAATAGATCCCTGAGTGGTTGCCTGAATCTGTCCACGATCTCCCTGAACAGCGATGGATCCAGGCGCCATTCCGAGTGGTCGATCGTGACCCTGCTCAGGGAGTCTGCCTGTCGGTTTGCCTCCCCCTGTAAGTGTTCCGCCCTTATGGAACCCAGATTGGATTCCACCCAGGTCCCTAAACTCTGAACCTCTAGCATGAGGGACCAGGAT